GTCAGGTGAGCGCTGTCGCTCTGCGGCACTTGTTTATATTTTGGTTTGGTGAGGGTTATTGGGACAGAGCGGGGTGCATTGAAATTTCGTGAGATTGCATGCAAAATGCGGCCCATACGCCGGTATTGGAAGGTAAAAAAGCCTACCGTTCCCTTCTACATGGCTTTACCTTGCTACGGATGTGCGTGAATATTCACTTCTTAAAAGATTGTTTTTCAGAAACCCTGCTTCATTCCAGTTCCACTTTAGTAAATCGCATTCGCCATTTACAAACAATCAGACCAATCAGAGCGAGTTTTACAATAGCCTGGTTTTGTCGAGAGTGACTTTCCCCCGGGCGTAGATGGACGGTCACGTGATGTGAGACTGAGAGTATCGTTGTTCAATACACACCGTATACATACACCGACACGTTTGCTGACAGAGACATGAAATACAATACATGGCGCTGTACGCACGGTGTACGATACGGAATACAATTCAGGATCCATTCGTGATCTCCAATACGGAATGCAATACATGCACGCACACTGTACACACGGTCTAACTTAAAGTAACTTGCAGGTAACACCAGGAAAACTTAAACATCAGTTCCTTCTTTTTTATTCATTTAATTGTAAATTACAGGCGTAGAAAAGCACCAATTAGTGTAACCTGCACGGTTTAAGATGGGAACAGAGAATGTTTACAAGTTCAGAGACGTGCGGGGAGTTCCTGACATTGTTCACGAGTATTCTGCTGGCTTACGAGATGCCAGCACTTCTCTCATCATCGATAACGGTAAGAATCCGTCGCTGAACGAGTCCTGAAAAAGTTCAACTAGTTATAACTAAGTTCTAGTATAACACTAACAGATAATGACAACGTTATGGTGTTTGCTGAGTAATAATTTGAATAAGAATAGTAGCTGTTTATTCAACAACATTATATTCAGTTAAATCTTGTGTGTATTCAAGGACGAGAATAATATGAACCAACAAGTTCCATTTGTGAAGGTAAACGTGTGTTGTTATAATAAGAAGCTCTGTGTGAATATTTAGATGTTTCTATGATGGATAAAGTGGGAATTTAGCATGGTAGAAGTATATATATGCGGTTTAGAAAAGGTGATGAATATCTGCATAATTATTATTTGATGGATTTTTAATATTTCAGGCTCGTATCAATGCAGAGCTGGCTGGGCAACGGACGATGACCCTCGGCTAGTGTTTAGAAGTGTTACTGCTAAACAAAGAGGAAAGAAGGTATGTACATGTTACAATCTATCAGCTGTTGTAATGTATATGAGTTTTATTAGTCACCATAGTAAGTTTATGTGCTCGTGTGTATTATCATGCACATGTCTATAGTAACCAGTATAGATATGTTCATGGTATTATTTATAGTATATATCTCAAAGTTTCTTATTCCATAAATCCTTATGCATGCATGCGCTACGTGTAGTATAAAACCATGTGTGTATTTTACATATTACAATAAACATATCTATGCTGGTGGCTGTTTTCGAAACTTTTGAAATTAAATGGGGAAAAAACAATAGAGCACTTGCATGTTAATTCAGAGTGTAGATGTGTACATGATATTAACATACTCTTGTGTGAGACTGCTTCTTTTGCTTCCTGAACAGGAATCAGATTTGCAGATTGGAAATGAAATCAGTAACATAGAGGTGGTTAGATGGCTGCTGAAGACTCAATTTGACAAGAATGTTGTCACCCAGTTTGACACACAGGTAAGAAAAGACAATAGATATGACGATAGACGGTAGACATAAACAATCATCTATTATTCTTCATGCAGAGGAAGTACGAACGACACTGGCGCAGTTACCTGATACATTTGCCTGTCATTTAACCGTGCCAAACGCCAACGTGCGTGGCGGCTCACTGACACTGTTTGTAGTGTGTCACTGTGATTGTCTTCTTATCTCCTGATGTATATTTTTGGTGCCGTAAAAAAACAAATCTTGGTAGCCACGAACATCATCTAAATTGAATTCGTGAAAATTAAATGCCATTTTTGTTTTGACAGGAACAAGTTTTTGACTACATATTTTCCCACCTTGGCATTGACACTGAGGGAGGGATAAATCATCCGATAGTATTGACCGAAGCTGTATGCAATCCAAACTACAATAGACAGTGTAAGTAATGCTGAGAGGGTCTATGTCATTAACCCAGTGTGAGTCCAACTATAAACTCCTAATCCTATCACATACATATCATATGTGATTATTTTCATATATGAATTGCGTTTTTGTGATAAATAACATATAATACACTCGCCATCGCCAACTAACTGAAACCAAGCAAAGGCTTTACCAAGGTTGTTAAAATGACAAACAAAATTTGTGAGGACTAGTAAATTTCGGCGAGGTCTAGACGCATCTAGTAGTAGTTGTCAGTTAAATGCTGCCTGGTGCAGAAACATGAATTTTGCGCCGTGTACACCACACTCCCACAGACGGCATCTCAACGATTGGCTTTTTGATTGGCAGCATCTTAAATGAAAGTGTCAATGACACTGTAGCTCACCTTGGGTGTGATAGAAGAGGGAGGGGGAATATATAAAGCAAGATTTCACGAGATATCTCTGGCGGGAGTAGGTAAGAACAAGGCCAGAGTTATAATTCGAACAAGTTAACATTTAGCTAGACATAGATACCAAGATGGAAGCTGTTGGATGTGTATTCGTGCTGTGAAGGTGTGAAATGAAGCGAGCGTCGAGCGAATTTTGCGATCACGCTTTCCTACCTGCTCTCTTATTAATTCATGTTGTTTGTCTTCTGTCAAGATGAACGAGCAGAGTGACAACAAAGACACTGACTTATGCCAAACGATCATTTATTGTTAACTAATCGGCCATGATGATTTACGCGGGCTTGTACATGCGCATAAGCCTCTATGCTGTAGCTCAGTACAAACATAGCGGAAGCACCCCGTTCATAGAGGGCGACACTGCACAGTACCAACATCACAGTTTGTGCACAAGGCGGGCGTGCCGGCGCTTGCGGTGTACTTGTGTGTTGCAGATGAGCATTTGAACGGCATTTACAGCAAGTTATCGGCAATAATAGGCGAAATAGAGTAGAGAAACGTTAAGACTTTGGTAGTAAATACATTTCGTGTTTACATTTTTTTTTTTTTAGACGTTCCGAGTGCCTCACTGCCTGTGATGGCAATAGCTCATCTTGACGATGTCAAGGCGAGCTAAAAACCAGACGCAGAATGAAATGCTTACGTCATCAGGTCCTGAATCGGAGTCGCTGCTTGAAGCCACATTGTTCTTTCTCTTCGGCATCGCCGGCTTTGTATTCAGTGCAATCTGTACTCTCGAGTGCTTCTTTCCCTGCCGCCGATAACAGTAAACAAGTGTACCATGTCAAAATGAAACCGGCATAAATTGTAAATATTAAAATAACCAACAATCCATATACCTATTCATGCATGTGTTATGTTCTCGTACTTGTCGGTGTCCACTACACTGGATATAATGACAATTAAGGTAGTAAGTGCCGCTGAAGGGGTCGTTGTCGTATCAGGTACTACAGATATGTACCCGAGGTACGTATACACAAGTGTACCAGACCTGTATCTTCTAAGCATATATGTACCTAGCTCCAAGAAACGGTATTGCTAGGGTTAGGATACCGTTTCAAATTCTTGCCCACAATTCCTTGTAGTTGGCTCGGTATCCAACCATCGACACAGCTAGCGTCACATGTAATAGCTCAAACGAATCTATAAACCTCTGGCTTGCTCGCGGTAACTGGGCGCTACTGGGCGCTACTTATTTATTGAGAGACACAACAACTTGTTGTGGTAACATATATATATATATATATATATATATCGACAGAGTATTGATTAAGTCCCCCCAACTATCATGAATGCCTGTTTTGCCTGCAAGCTTCATTGCACAGCGTACGCCTGCACACCATTGTTAATCGGCTCGGTAACTTGCAGAGCAAAGATGGCGGGGAGAGTGAGTCGGAGGAAGAACGGGAGAAGCTGGGGGAGGTCGAAGCCCTGCTGATGCATCACGACCCCGAATTCCAGAAGTGAGTGTACAACCTCTGTTTATAAATATAGTATGTAACAATAGGAGGGGAAATAATGGTTGGTTGACTGTGGACAGATAGGATAGAGTATGGTGCAGTGCCATGCAGTGTAGTGCTGGTGCGGTTTGGTGGTGTGGATGTGGCATGGTACGGCACAGTGCGATTGATTTTCGGTTTGTTTATTTTTCTTGTAGAGAAATGGCTGAGCTGGTTCAGCCATCTAATGTGCTGACGGATATAGAGGAGTACTACAAACTCTACGTGGGCGTGGAGAGAGTGAGGTGAGATCTCACGCACAATTATCATAAATCACTTCATGGATAATGACGAGAGATGGCAGCCGCTATAACATACATGAGTCTATTTTGAGGAATGACAATTCTTGCTCTCGGTCTCTGTCTTATCTCGGTTTCTCATACGTTTGGTTTCTGATAAGCGAAGCAGAAGAGATCGTTGATTTTTTTTCCGCATACTAACTAAATTATGTGTGTGATACATGTGTGTGTTATGCATCTAAATGCACCCTATACACCACAGTCGTCAATTGCTCGTAAATCACTTCAAGGACAATTGGCACAGGAGATGGCAGCCATTTGTAACATACACGATTTACTCGATACGACTCATTCACGAGTCTATTTTGAGGAATGCATGCCGCATTGTACAGCTTTTACGTTGAAAAATAGAACTTAAGTAGAACTCCATTGGGAACTCCATTGCGTCCACTACATTTTACCGATGACAATAACAATTAAGTTTATCGTAACAAAGACGTAGTGGGCGTGGCCACCATCCATCCACGCATCGTCTCACGTCTCGCTGTAGATACCACCATAGTTATTCACCATCAAAATGACTCCACTAATAGATGATAAAAAATATAATATTAAAATAATTCGCACTGAATTCTGCCTAAAAGTCAGACTAAATTCAAATCTTGATTGCCATAACCTTTCTTCGCTATGTTGTGCACTGCTTTCTATGAGTTGCCTTTGCACGGTGCCCCTTGCTCGTAACACAATCCGGATTACTTCCACTGATGTTTGTTAGTATTTCTTTTCCCTGCGGAATGTCTATCCTCTCTCATCCTATTATAAGAAGCATATTTGCGGTTCATTTTGTGTCGCTTCAGGAATTATATGGCAATTTTATCAGGTTTTCCCCGTCGGTGCACGCTTAACGACACCCCGCCGCATCAATAAGACGATTTGTCGCCCCGGCAGCTGCGTCTCCTAGCAGATTAGCAGGAGGCTGGTTCTCTGAAGAGAGACGCGTTGTCAGCCCAGCTAACGAGATGTCAACATCAGCATTGCTGCCACTCTATCTCTCTCTCTCTCTCTCTCTCTCTCTCTCTCTCTCTCTCTCTCTCCCACCATCATTGTGACCGGTGGCACGTTGTGTTTCAGGGTACCGGAGCTGTTGTTTCAGCCGTGGATGATCGGATCAGAGCAGGCAGGGTTGGCAGAGACCGTGGAGCTGGTACTCGCCCAGTATGCACCCGACGACCAGGACAGACTAGCGCAGGTGCGGGGTCAGGGGGCGCCACCGCTGACGTGCTTAGCGCCGAGTCGTCGGTTACGAAGCTTAACTTCGTTCTAAATACCGATAGATGTTTATTCTGTTTGATCGTACGCAGGATGGATGACGGATGCTTAGCACGATGGCTTTTGTCAGTTCTGACACCTTCTTCGTCTGTCAGATTTTTCTTGTCATCTGTCGTTATGTAAAGATCACCTGTAAGGCAGTAAGGATTGCGGAGTTTTTTCAAACTTAGAATTGTGGCTTGCTGCCATCTAGTGTACTACATAATAGTACGAAATATGTGATAAAACAGTGTAGTTAAAAATAATAATATCGCGGTTATGAATCGACGATCAATCGTGAACATTTTCTGGTCATTGATTAGAAGTGTGATTCCCAACACTATTTGACATCCCCATCACTGGGAAATTTTTGGTAACCTTAACCTCATCCTTGGGTACTTGACATTAATCTCCTGGATCTAAAACCTGCTAAAACATTATTCTAGATGCTAAACGTCACCCTGGGCCTGAAACTATTGTTCCAGCTTCTTACTATCTGCAAGAAAAAGTTCATGTTAAGACTAATTTTGTTTCTGACAACATGCTCCTGAATACTTGTTATTGCTAAACGTCTTAATTATCTTCTTTGCTTATCATCATCATCAAACTAACCAACCAAGACAGGCCTCACCTACATGTGTATGTTTTCAAGTATATTTAGTATTATCATATATATGTGTTTCTCACGTTGTAGAATGTGTACGTTCTTGTGTATGTAAAATAATATGAATGTATATATGTCTTCATGTTTTCACGTATATTTAGTATTATTGTATATACATGTTTTTCTCACGTTGCAGAATGTGTTTCTGACGGGTGGCCCGGCGATGCACCGTGGTTTCCTGGAGAGGATGGAGAGGGAGCTGCAAATGATGAGACCATTCCAATCTAAATTCCGAGTCGTCAGAGCAGGTACGTATCACGACACGATCCGTATCACCAGTGAAAAAAATACACGGGGGCTCGGGGCGATTTAGCCCCCGAAATGCCAAAAAGAGCCCCGGAAATTTGCATAGAGTTCAATGCAAACCAAATTTTAGAGTGCTATTTTCATCCACGCGAGCTTGAAAAGTAGCCCCAGAAAAATACATTTTATTTTTTTCCCTGCGTATCACGATATGATACGTAGCGCGATACACTTTTCATGATATATAACATATCATGATACTTTCAAGAGAAACTACCTAGCAAGCTATGCACTCAACCGGTACTCTACCAATCATGTGAACGCATACAAATCAGTATTGTGGAGCGCTTAGTAAACAACTGCTACTGAACTGTGAATTGTGTCATGCTTTTTATGTTTTCTGATGAAACTATGCTAGTAAATGATACGGATTTTATTCAGTGGAGTATCGATGCGTGTATCGTGAATGGTAAAACGTGTCGATGCGTGTATCGTGATAGGGTTCGATTAGATATCGTTAAGATCAAGAGCTAAATGTATTATTAGATGTATACGTTATTATTACGTGTACTATTAGCTCTTGATAAGATTTCTATCGCGATACATCTCGATAAATCGTCCCACCCCCTAATACATATTGTGTTCTTTCTTCTCACGCTAGCTGATGCGGTGCTGGACGCGTGGAAAGGTGCGCGGCTGTGTTCCCAGCAGCCGGGCTATCTAGCCGCTCACGCAGTGACGAGGGAGGAGTACGATGAGAGAGGCGGAGAGTACATGAAGGAGCATCATGCATCCAACCTGTACCGCAACAGCATCAACCCTGCATCGTAGCGAAGCCATCCCTGCATCTACGAGAGGCTGCGAGCTCCAGCCTGCATCCCTGCATCGTAGCGAAGCTAGCATCTACGAGAGGCTGCGAGCTCCAGCCTGCATCCCTGCATCGTAGCGAAGCTAGCATCTACGAGAGGCTGCATCCCTGCATCGTAAGTGGATGGAAGACACCTGTGGCATATTTTTTTACATGTGGGTTGACAGCTGTGACACAGAAAGAACTAGTTTCGCATACTCTTGACAAACTTCATGAGTTTGGTTTTAAGGTTTGTGCACTGACAATGGATGGCCATCCAACAAATATGTCGATGTGTGCATTGCTTGGAGCAAATCTTGATGTATCGCACGAGACCAAGGCCCACATTGCATCTACAGAACAGCATCGAACCTATATCTTCCCTGATGCCTGCCATATGCTCAAGTTGATGCGCAACACCTTGCAAGCATACAAGGGCCTGTCAAGTCCCGATGGAGTAATAAGTTGGACATATCTTGAAAACTTGCAGAAAGTACAGGAAGATACAGGACTCAGACTGGGCAATCGTGTCACCTCAAAGCACATACACTTTCAGTTCCAAAAGATGAAAGTGTCCTTAGCAACACAACTGTTATCTTCATCAGTCGCACAAGCCCTTAGAACTATGTTGGCTATCGGAGACAAAAGATTCAGTGGCTGTGAGGCAACTGCTCTCTTCATTGAGGTAATAACTAATTATCAAAGCCATATTGCCAGTATACATCTTGGTATTTTTAGGTCATGTATTGTTATTTTGAAAAATATGTACTGTTTTTAAAAGCACAAAGTAGTATATGAAATTGTAAAAAAAACATGCAAGTAAACATTCCAATCAATATTAATTGTGCCTTACATAACCATCTACTGGACTGTAAACTGATAACCCTAACCCTTCCTGATGGTATATATTTCAGTTCCCTTTTATTTTATTTCATGATTGCATTTTTGCCATTTTTGTAACACAGCGCATAGACCGGCTGTTCGATACCTTGAACAGTCGATCTCCTAAAGCCAGAGGATTCAAGAGCGCAATAAATCCACAAAATCTGTTGGATGTGACTAACTTCTTGATCGAGTCAAGGAGTTATCTTCTGAGCTTGACGCTCCTGAATGATGGTCCACCTCTGGTGTCCACACGGAGGTAGCACTAAAAAATTACTGAATGGCCAATACTAATCTCTTGACTTAAGTTGTTTGTTATTTTCTAACATGTTAATAGGTACTTATTAAACATAGTTATTTTGCTTAAATTGACTACGTCACGAATCTACGTCACATTTCTAAACTAGTAAAAAATCCAGGACAATTTCATAAATTGTGTTGGTTCACATATCGAACGGAAAAGCAAAATACGAAGTATAATGCAGCAACTTGACCATAAAAAGTGAATAGAATTTTGTTAAAAAGTGGACATAATTTTTTTACTTTTAATATTTAAGGGATGTTATTTATGTATGTTCAAAGTTCTATGTTTGTTGTTTCTATGTTTATTGTTCAAGTTGTGGCATTTCATTTTTAGCTCACCTTGACATCGTCAAGCTGAGCTATTGCCATGGGTCGTCGTCCGTCGTACGTCCGTCCGTCCGTCAACATTTGGCTTCGGTCAACGATAACTCAGGAACCGTTTGACCCACATGTTTGAAATTGGGTGTAGTTGTTACTGCTATGCTCCCATATTAAACGTCCTATTTTGGAGCTTGCCAAATGGGAATTGCCATTAGTCATTTCAGGTTCAACGGAGTTTGCTCATTTTTGGTATGTGAATGAATATGGGCTAGGGGTTTTGATATTTAAAAAAAAATTATGCAAATTAGGTAGGGTTTGGCAATTATATAGCATATTATATAGACACAAACAGTCTGTGGTACAAGATTTCATTGACAATATAGCATCCCTGCATCGTAGTGAAGCCATCCCTGCATCTACCTGCCCGTATAGATAACCTCCAGCAGTGTGGTGACGAGGAGTGAGGCAGGAGAGCTGGAGGAGCAGGTCAGAGATCCCGTGCCTGCGTCGTCATGGAAACAATGGACAGTGAAGCTTCGGTTGCCTTTGAGAATCGTTCAGCGTGGACATGGATGTAGTGTACCATCTATTCACGTTTGTAGGTGTATAGTAACCTTTAAGGAGGTTGTAGTGCACTCTCTCTTTACTTTTTTTAGGTGTATAGTGTGACCTTTAAGGAGGTTGTAGTGCACTCTCTCTGTACTTTTTTCGTTTGTCTCCATTTCAAAGCAAAAATCATTGTGATGTTCGGACCTTCTGTTTTACCAACGCGATTGGATCAATCTTGTTTTTTTTAATAAAATATAACCTGTAGCTCATAGCTGTTTTGTTAGTGCAATTATCTGTAAAATATGCATGCCTACTTGAACTGTTACAGCTAATGAAAATATCTGGGATTGATAGCTAAGTGGGAGAATTCCTTGTTACATCAGCTTAGGGAAAAGTTAAATACATTGTTTCAAGCATTAAGTGGGGATGCATAAAACGCATACATCTTACCGGTTGTGACACACCACCTCTAAAATTCTACTTACAGGCATAACATTCGTTCCCCTCGTGTAACTTTACCATTTTTAGCTCACCTTGACATCGTCAAGATGAGCTATTGCCATGGGGCGTCATTCGTCGTATGTCCGTCTGTCTGTCAACATTTGGCTACGGTCAACGATAACTTGAGAACCGTTTGACCCACATGTTTCAAATTGCATACAGTTGTTACTCCTATGGGAGAGATGTGAACGTCCTATTTTGGGGGGGACGGCAGTTGACCTACTTTCGAGCCACGCCCACTTTTTGGCAAAAATGAAAATGGCCATAACTCAGTTCAGGTTCAACGGATTTTGCTCATTTTTGGTATGTGAATGAATAACGACTGGTCCCCAAAACATATCACGGGTTTTGATATTTTTTTTAAATTATGCAAATTAGGTAGATTTTGGCAATTTCACTATGCATTTCAGTGTCTTCCTACGGTCAAACGCATACATTTGTGTTTTGCTACGTGTAGCTGTATCTGACAAAAGAAACATGATAGATCTAGTTTTTAACATGGCTGTTTGGCGTGTAAGGTTCAACATGGCGGTGTGACGTTTATCTGTATGACTGGTATTCGTCACCAAAATACACGGAAGCGATGAGCGATTCGCTCTTCAAACCTCCGAAATCGCTCCCGTGAGGCTCAAAATAGGTCCCGTAAAATTTTTGACGCGAGCTATTTTCTCCACAGACTTGAAAAAGAGCTCCCGTGAAAAAAAAAAATTTCCTGGGTGTGACGTTTATCGTTTACTTTCCGCTCAGCTTCCCGCGTACGGTCTCACCGCGGAGGCAATCAGGGAGAAGCGGCAGCAGCAGGTGAAGAGGCTTCACGAGATCCACGCACGCAGGAAGGAGGAGAAGCTTGCAGAGGACTCCGAGAAACTGCAGCAGCTGCAGAGCCTCCAGGAGCTGCTGGCAGAGGGCAGCACCGATCAGATTGTGAGTGCGTTCGTCAAAGATGGCCGCTAACGCGTGCGATGTGATGCGGCGTCGTAGAATGTCCGCGGCTGAGCTAGCGTGCCACGAATAGGAATGTGACGATCGCGTGATGGCAGTCGTGGGAGGTGTGGATTTTTAACGACGACGCCGGTAATGACGTTTACTGATTACGTTTACTAATTAATACTTACCACGGCTTTACGGTTTACGTTATGCTTTACTTGATCTCTCGTTCGTTAGGCGAAATTCGAATGCGCTATGGTGAAACATAATGTTAATACGTGAGCAGGCGTCGCTCCAAAACGTTAGTGAAATCCCACTGAACAACTCGCTAAGCACTCTCGTGGCTTGTCACTGTCAAATTGTCACTGCACACACTAAGTGGACGATCGGAGAATTGTCACTACAAACATGAAGTCGCGTTGCACGTGTGAACTGCATGATGTTACCCCGAGAGAAAGCACTGTCAAATTATTGCTGCAAACATGAAGTCGCACATGCATATTGCACGAATATTGCACATGTGAACTTACCTGATCCTTAACTTACGGCGTGATCATTGCCCCGGCAGAAAGCAAATTGTCAAAATTATTGCTGTAAACATGAAGTCGCGTTGCACGTGTGAACTTACCTGATCCTTAACTTGCCTTAACTTACCTTAATTTGCCTTAACTTGCCTTAACTTACCTTAACTTACGGCATGATCCTTACTTCCGGTAGAAAGCGCTAGAGGATGCCGGACTGTCGTCCGAGAGCGAGCTGCAATGGACCATCGATCGCGTGAAGCGAAGCATCGACAAGACCCTCAAGAAAATACAGGCTGCGAAGAGTGAGGAGGTGAGAGCGTGCGTGGGGAAGCCACCGTCATTATAATGTCTCCTCCTCCCTCCCTCCCTCCCTCCCTCCTCCCTCCCTCCCTCCCCCCTCCCTCCTCTCCTCCCTCCCTCCCTCCCTCCCTCCCTCCTCTTCTCTCCCTCCCTCCCTCCCTCCCTCCCCTCCTCCTCCCTCTCCTCCTCCTGCCTTCCCTCCTCTCCTCTCTCTCTCTCTCTCTCTCTCCCTTCTCTATCACTCTCTCTCTCTAACCCTCTCTCTATCTCTCTCCCCTTCTCTATCTATCTCTCTCTAACAACTCTCTCTGTCTCCATACGTGCCGCACAGGATTGGGATGTGGAAGCGACGCGACAGCAAGCGCGCTCGCTCAGCAGAGTCCCGCCGCCAGTCGAGAGAAAGAAGGCTGGCGACACGGAGGATGTGCTGCGACGTATCAGAGCCTCACCGAACTCCGCCGTGAAGCAGAACAGGTGAGTAACCGATCGTGTCACGCCTCAGCCAGGGTGCTGACAGGTGGTTAACGAGCGTCGCTCACACCTCAGCCAGGTGTGTGAACAGGTGAGTTCAACGAGCGCCCCCCCCCCCCCCCTTGTCACGCCTAGCCAGGTGCGTGACAGCGTGAGCCTTAACGAGCATGTAACACACCTAGCCAGGCTGTGTGACACGGTGAGCTAACGAGCGTGTCACACCTAAGCCAGGTGTGGTGACAGGTGATCGTTAACGAGCGTGTCACGCCCTAGCCAGGTGTGTGACACGCTACCCGCTGTGGTAAGCTGTAGACTGATAACGCCTAATGATGTTTTCACACCTGGCTAGGTATGTGACAGCGTAGCACAGCTACTGTGACAGCCGTGAGCTAAACGAGCCGGATCACACCTGCGCTAGTGTGTGACAGGGGATGGCCTAACGAGCGTGTCACACCTGGCTAGGGGTGTGGACAGGTGAGCTAACGAGCCGTGTCACACCTAGCCAGGTGCTGCTGACAGCGTGAGCTAACGAGCGTGATCACACCTGGCTAGCGTGTGTGACAGGTGAGCATAACGAGGTGTCACACACTGGCTAGTGTGCCGCTTTATCGTGACACGTAGCACTGGTGAGCATTCTTGTTTACAAATTACAGTACAAGTTAACTGTTGATGGCGCATTGCCACCTGACAGTATCCTGTGAGCCAGGTGGAGAATAGAACAGAGACATGTGAATATTCAGCCAATAGGGGTCTGATGCTGCTCCAGAATAGACGACACGTGCAGATATCAGCACATAGCGTGTCTGATCTGCTACAGAATAGACAGACATCTGAATATCAGCACAGTAGATGTTCTGATGCGCTCCAGAATAGACAGACATGTGAGATATCAGCACATAGATGTCTGATGCTGCTACAGAAGTAGACAGTGACATTGTCGAGATAGTCAGCACATAGATGTCTGATGTGCTCCAGGAATAATACAGACATGTGAGATATCAGCACATAGGTGTCTGATGCTGCTCAGAATAGACAGTGACATGGAGAATATCAGCCACAATCAGGTGTCTGATGTGCTACAGAATAACAGACATGTTGCGCAGATATCAGCCACATAGGTGTCTGATGCTGCCTCGCCAGAATAAGACAGACATGCTGGATATCAGCACATAGGTGTCTGCATGCTTGCCCCTCCAGAATAGACAGACATGTGAGATATCAGCACATAGGTGTCTGATGCCTGCCTCTAGAATAGACAGACATGCTGAGATATCAAGCGCACATAGATGCTCTGATGCTGCTCCATGATAGACACGACATGTGCAGATATTCAGCACATAGGGTCTGATGCTAGCTCTAGAATAGACAGACATGTGAGATATCAGCCACATAGATGTCTGCATGCTTCTCCAAATAGACAGGACATGCTGAGATATCAGCCCACGAAATAGACCTGTCTGATGCTGCTCAGAATAGACAGCACATGTGAGATATCAGCCAATAGCGTGTCTGATGCTGCCCCTCCAGGAATAGACAGTGACATGTGCAGATATCAGCACATAGATGTCTGATGCTGCTCCAGAATTAGACAGAAGACATGTGAGATATCAGCACATAGGTGTCTGATGCTGCTCCGAAATAGACAGACATGTGAGCATATCAGCACATAGATTGTCTTGCAGTGGCTGCTCCAGAATAGACAGACATGTGAGATACTCAGCACATGATGTCGCGATGCTGCGTTGCTCCAGAATAGACCATGACATGTAGCAGATATCAGCACATAGGTGTCTGATGCTGCCATCCAGAATAGACAGCTGGACATGTGAGAATCAGCAACATAGATGTCTGATGCCTTGCCTCCAGAATAGACAGACATGCATGAGATATCGAGCACATAGGTGTCTGATGCTGCCCCTCCAGGAATAGACCAGGACATGCTGAGATTCAGCCACATAGATGGTCTGCATGCCTTGCCCTCCAGAATAGGACAGACATGCTGAGATCATCAGCACATAGGGTCTGATAGCTGCTCCAGAATAGACAGGACACGTGAGATATCAGCACATATAGATGTTGATGCTGCTCCAGAATAGACAAGACATGATGAGATATCAGCACATAGGATGTCTGATGCTGCTACAGAATAGACAGTAGACATGTGAGATATCAGCACATAGATGTCTGATGGCCTGCTCCAGAATAGGACAGAGCATGTGCAGATATCAAGCACATAGAGTGCTCTGAATGCTGCTCCAGAATAACAGACATGTGAGATATCAGCACATAGGTGTCTGATGCCTGATGCTCCAGAATAGGACAGACATGTGAGATATCAGCACAATAGGATGTCTGATGCTGCCTCCAGAATAGCACAGTGAACATGTGAGATATCAGCACATAGTGATGTCTGATGCTGCCTCCCAAGAATAGGACAGGACATGTGAGATTATCAGCACATAGATGTCTGATGCTGCTCCAGAATTAGCACAGTGACATGTGAGATATCAGCACATAGGATGTCTGAATTGCTGCTCCAGAATAGACAGAGACCATGTGAGGAATATCAGCCACATAGATGTCTGATGCTGCTCCAGAATAGACAGAGACATGCTGAGATACTCAGCACATAGTGTCTGATGCTGCCCTCCAGAATAGACAGTGACATGTGAGATTCAGCCACATAGATGTTCTTGATGCTGCACTCCAGAAGACTAGGACAGACATGTGAGATATCAGCACATAGATGTCTGATGCTGCTCCTAAGAATAGACAGACATGGTGAGATATAGCCACATAGGTGTCTGATGTGCTCCAGACATATGACAGGACATTGTGCAGCATATCCAGCACATAGATGTCTGATTGCTGCCCTCCAGAATAGACGAGACATGCTGAATACAGCACATAGGTGTGCTGATGCTGCCCTCCAGAACAGACAAGACATGTGAGATATCAGCACATAGATGTCTTGATGCTTGCTCCAGAATAGACAGACATGTGAGATATACTCAGCACATACGATGTCTGATGCTGCTCCAGAAATAGACAGGACATGGCTGATGAATATCAGCACATAGTGTCTGATGCTGGCTCCAGAATAGACAGACATGATGAGATAATCAGCACATAGGTGTCTGATGCTGCTCCAGAATAGAACACAAATGTGAGATATCAGCACATAGGGTCTGATGCTGCCCCAGAATAGACAGCAACATGTGAGATAGCAGCACATTAGATGTCTTGATGCTGCTCCAGAATAGACAGACATGGTGAGATACTCAGCACATAGGTGTCTGATGCTGCTCCAGAATAGACAGACATGTGAGATATCAGCACATATTTTTTTTTTTTTTTCATTTTTTTTTTTTTTTTTTTTTTTTTTTTTTTTTTTTCTTTTTTTTTTTTTCTTTTTTTTTTTTTTTTTTTTTTTTTTTTTTCCTTCTTTTTTTTTTTTTTTTTTTTTTTTTTTTTTTTTTTTTTTTTTTTTTTTTTTGTGCTTTTTTTTTTTTTTTTTCTTTTTTTTTTTTTTTTTTTTTTTTTTTTTGTTTTTTTTTTTTTTTTTCCTTTTTTTTTTTTTTTTTTTGTTTTTTTTTTTTTTTTTTTTTTTTTTTTTTTTTTGTTTTTTTTTTTTTTTTTTTTTTTTTCGTGTCTGATGCTGCTCCAGAATAGACACAGCATGTGCAGATATCAGCACAAGATGTCTGATGCTGCCTCCAGAATAGACCAGACATGTGAGATATCAGGCACATAATGTGTTGATGCTGCTCAGAATAGACAGGACATTCGAGATATTCAGCAAGGTAAGATGTCTGATGCTGGCCTCCAGAAGTAGACAGACATGTGAGATAAATCAGCACATAGGTGTCTGATGCTGCTCCAGAATAGACAGACATGGGAGATCATCAGCAACATAGTGCTTGCTCTGATGGCTGCTCCAGAACTAGACAGACCATTGTGAGATATCAGCAATAGGTGCCTCCTGACTGCTGCTCCAGAATAGACAGACATGTGAGGATACAGCCACATAGATGTCTGATGCTGCTCCAGAATAGAACAGACATGTGAATATCAGGCCACATAGGTGTTCTGATGCTGCTTCCAGAATAGAGCAGAGACAGGTGCGAGATATTCAGGCACATAGTGTTGTGCTGCTCCAGAATTAGACAGACATGTGCAGATATCACACATAGGATGTCTGCATCGCTGCTCTAGAAAGACAGACATGTGCCGCCTCAATCAGCCACATCAGTGTCTGGATGCTTGCTCCAGAATAGGACAGGAGACATGTGATATCGCGCAAATAGATGTCTGATGCTGCTGCCAGAATAGACAGACATGCTGAGATATCAGCACATAGGTGTCTGATGCTGCTCCAGAATAGACAGACATGTGAGATATCAGCACATAGATGTCTGATGCTGCTACAGAATAGACAGATAAATGTGAGATATCAGCACATAGGTGTCTGATGCTGCTCCAGAATAGACAGACATGTGAGATATCAGCACATAGGTGTCTGATGCTGCTCCAGAATAGACAGTGACATGTGACTGGTCGGTGTTGTATCTGTGTGTCTATGCTGCTTTAGGAGCTACTGGACACGCGTGCCAAACGCAAGAAGGTGAAGGAAGAAATGGCAAAGAGAAGAACCTATGCATCGCAGAAGAGAATGAAGATTCTCACCCAGCTGGCCTCAGGTGATCCTCAGCTCAACGCTATATCTCGTTTTCATGTGTTCGCTCCGCGGCTCTCGCTCTAATGCTAAGATAATTAAGTCGTTTTGTGTTACGAATCCAACATTAATAAGTTGTAGTAAATTGCATCACTGTGCATCTGCTATGTATTGGTATAGGAATCATAGTAAGATCTGTAAATACTATCGTATAGGGAAATCTGAAAAAAGCCAAGGCGGGAAAAAGGAAGATACGTTTGGCATGGATGAATCTGATTGGAATGTCTACAAAGAGATCGTAAGTAAATCAAAAGTTGTCTTATGCATGTATTTTAATTATCGTCTTAAGCAAAATACTTTAAATTGGTGTTTACCGGCTGCTATTACAACGACACAACAACTTGTTGTTGTGACATATATGTATATATATATATATATATATATATATATATATACTATATATCTATATATATATATATATATATATATATATANGCAGTGGGAAAAGGAGAGAGGAAGTGAAGAGAAGATGTGGTTAGAGAGAGAGAGAGAGAGAGAGAGCGGGAGCGAGTGTGTGCGAGAGAAAGAGCTCGAGAGTGTATGTGTGTGTGAGAGAGAGAGAGTGACCCCCACACACACCAACCTATCATGTGTCACCCCCTAGCCGGGTCACCCACCTCAAAAGATGACACCCCGGAAATTAATTCAACCATCCCTAATTGTAAGCAGCGTGATTTCGTAGCAAGGGTTTAATAATTTAGTAGTGCGCGCGTGATGAAGCGAGTATATTCACACGATGAGCGGGCGATTCTTCTTCCGATGCTCTGTGTGCGTGTGCATTATGAGATGTGCGTTGATGATTCGCTTGTATCCATGCTGCATTGGTCTGTGACCGTGCTAACACGTATAGATGCGACAATTTCCTCCTGTGTTTGTAGCATACGCACGGTCGATGGGTGTGAGTGGGTGAGGGAGTGTTTGCGCGGGATGGTGGGAGAAGGCACGTAGCTTCACGGTTCAGAAACGAACTAGAAAGCTAGAACTGCTAGAATTACCATACATACCCAGCCATATATCCCATATGCGCTACATACCCAGCCATATATCCCATATGCGCTATATACCCAGCTATATATCCCATATGCGCTATATACCCATGCAGCCATATATCCCATATGCGCTATATACCCAGACATATATCCCATATGCGCTATATACACAGCCATATATCCCATATGCGCTACATACCCAGCCATATATCCCATATCATATGCGCTATATACCCATGCAGCCATATATCCCATATGCGCTATATACCCAGCCATATATCCCATATTCCCTATATACCCAGCCATATATTCCATATCATATGCGCTATATACCCAGCCATATATTCCATATCATATGCGCTATATACCCATGCAGCCATATATCCCATATGCGCTATTTACCCAGCCAGTTGTACTACGTTGTTGTTTCTTAGTTCATACCATGTATCACGTTAGTGATTTATGATGAAATAGATCATATTAGAACATGCAGCGCCGGGACACCCTCGTGTTGATGACGTCATCACATCGTCATCGTGTACTACACATTGAGAATGTATGCTATTTATCGTTGTGTAAACTATTTAAAATTCTGTAAAATTGATCTTTTCCCTTCTGTCAGAAAATAATGGGTGACAGAGAGAGCGCGAGAGGTAAAAGAGAAGAGAGAGAGGGGGAATAAAGGAAGAGAACG